GTGTTGTATTGTATGGTGTTGTATTGTATTGTATTGTTTTTGTATTGTATGGTGTATTGTATTGTATGGTATTGTATTGTATGGATTTGTATTGTATGGATTTGTATTGTATGGTGTATTGTATTGTATGGTGTTGTATTGTATTGTAATGTATTGTATTGTATGTTGTTGTATTGTGGTGTATTGTATGGTATTGTGCTGTGTACTGTATGTAAAGGAATGGAACGTCGATAGGTGCATATTTCTCATTCCTCTGAAGCATTATTATTTCAGAAAGGTGAATGTTTTTCATGACAAATCTGCAGTCAACAACCAATCAGAAAAGTTGGTCGGTCTTTGAATCATCAAACTAAAAGTCAAACGAAGTGTCCCTTGTTCCATAAAGTTATTTTCAATAGAATTCCTGTTAAATACACAAAAACAGTTGAGCCTAATTCACCGTAAAAAATTTTTTCATAATAATCACGATGATAATTTATTTTCCCAATGCAGTTATTTGATAGTCAGCATGCATATCTTAGGTGAATGTAGCGGCGCATGAATGTATGTGAGGTTGTATCCTTGCTTACTTTAATAAGTCAGTATGTATGTACGTACGTATGTATGTATGTATGTATGTATGTATGTATGTACGTACGTATGTATGTATGTATGTATGTATGTATGTATGTATGTATGTATGTTTTTTTAATGTTAATTTTGAACACTTTTGTGATTTTTCACATGAATAAACCTGTTAAAAAAATTAAAAAAGCACTTTATGTCGGTTCGTCAAGCAATGCCAAGACCAAGACCAAGCGCACATGCATCAAAAACCTGAATGAGAAACAACACTCAGACTCGGTCAATTTTATTTTACAAGTGCGTGTTGCAAGATTTTTGGGACTCCATGTTAAATTTTTTTTCCAGAAGTGAATGCTAAGGAATGTTTATAAAAGTTTCAATAGTTACCTACCGCCATACATAAATAATATTCTCGTGTCGAATGCTTCTTCGCATTCTCAATATTCTCAATCAGTTTTGAGTGATTCTCACGCTGAGTTCGGAAGTATGCAAAGGTAAAAGTGTACTTATTAAGGATTACTGAGGTACTCGAGACCAAATATTTACTTTCAGTTTGTTACTACTACTCTTAAAATGAAGAGCAGCCATGCATTTAAAAAAATTTCTTATATTAAATTCTACTAATTTTATTTTCTCTGAGAACAAATGCTGAATAGGTTTTTGTTTGAAGAACTTAGCCTACAAAAACTTAAAGTTGCTTAAAGTTATCTTTGCATGCAGCAATTCCCCTGAAGCACATTTGCAGGTACACACTCATAGAGAACTAAATAAATCAGATACTCAGATCAGATGAGATTTTATTATTTCATAAGAAAGTTTTTTTTTCTCTTAAGCCAGATTCGTCTGCCAATTTTTAAAGTTAATTTCTGAAATTTTACTTGTCTATTTATTTAGATACAGCAAATAAAAAAAAAACAGATGAAAACATACAAAAAATTTTAATCAGTCAGTCAAACGCTCCAACTTAAAAACTACATCACCAATCAATCAAACAATCAATCAATCGACTAATCAATCATCCAACCAACAAACTAATAAGTCGACGTTTGAACAAACAAACAAATCAAGTGACTGGTCAACAACAAATCAACCGAAAAGTTAAATCAAATTATTTTTTCAAATTTGTTGCTACAAATTTTGACAACACTCTCGCATTTGAAAAAATTTTTTAGCATTTTTATACTAATTAAAAATATCAACTAAAAATATTAACTTTCTATCTTTCATTAGCACAAATGCACACAATCCATACATATACCTAACGGAAAAATCCAAAAAAGAATTGGCAAAATACGGCGAAATTCCTGTCAGCCGGCCACTTACTACTACCGCATTCTCAACACGTTCCAACCTTTAATAATGTCACAAAAAATATTCATCACTGAGTGCAAATGAAATGTTCTAAGTTAACCTATAGTACGTTTTGGTTATGAAAATTTTACTTGTTCTACATTCTCATCGTAACGAAAAATACACGCGTCAGACGAGCAATTTAAAAATAAAGATATAACACCAAAAATACTCTGAATGTAAGGAGCAACATGCAACTGGTAAATTATATTTTCAAGAGCTCAGATCATAAATCGGATTTTTCAATTAACCACCCGGACAAATAATTAACTTTCAATTTTTACAAAAGTAAAAACAAAATTTTTAAAAACTGTTATCTTTTAATTTTGACGAAAAGTTGTTTTTGGGTAATGATATGACCGAATGATTTAAAAAGTTGGTTTTGATCTGTCGCTATCAAAAACTAAAACTGAGGAAAATAAATGTAAATCTTGAACGTAAAGAATAACCTTAGTTGCGTATGAGAATAAAATGATAAGACCTACGTTAATGTTGGACGCATACCAATAATTTAACACATGAAAAATGTATTCGACGCTAATCAATCTCGAATCAGCCAAATAACATTTTTTTTATTGAATTATTAAATTCAAGTCAAATAAAAATTAAATTGAAATATTCTGAATTATTGTATTTAAAATTTACGCAGTAAAACATTTTTTTTAAATACCCGCACAGCATGAGCAGAAAGGACAGAGTGAGATCAATCTACGCTTTCTGGTTAGTTTAGTTTATAAAAGAAAGAAAGAAAGCGTAGACATGTACAAACAAACAAACAAACAAACATTGTGCAGGCCACTAATATGGAAATTTTGGCAAGTGCAAATAAATTGTACACGTTGTTTATTTTTGTTTAAAAATATGTTTGATTTGGTACGTTCCTTATATACACAAGAGCGTCAGTGTAGGTACGTGTGCATGTGTGAGTTCGCTGATCTGCCATTGGTTCGCATGATGGCTTAAAAGTGCAACGCATTTTTCGTTTATTTGTATATTTCGATTGGAAATATCGAGAAGATTTATTAAAATTTTTGCATTGCTTTTGTTGTGGCGATGTTGAAAAATTCAATTTAAAATTTTTTAATTTTAGTCAAAATGCTATTCTTAGCCAATAGATAAAAAAGCTGATGAAATTTGTCGCTAGTTGCCAAAACCAGCCTCTACACCAAAGCTAAAAAAGTTTCACTTGAATTTAATTAAAAAAAAATTTAATTTTCAGTATAAATATTAATAAGAAGTTTGCAATGATTTATTTACGATCCAGTGCAAACATGAGACAAAAGTTATTGAAAAATAACTAAAAAATTATGTTTTTACTATAAACATAATTTACATGACGTGATTATAACGACATCTTCAATGTTGACGAAAATTGTTTGATTCGCATGTTTTTTATATTCATTAACTTTTTCACGTGCATCTATTTTTACATTTTAAACCGCTTAAAGTTTCATTTTCATCTTCCCGTCTTTTACATAGCTTTTAATTTAAATAAATAACCTTCGTTTGGCCTATCCTGAAAAAAAAATCTAACGTCAATTTTGGTCCACATTATTATACGCAGCAACAATTTATATGAACCTAGTACGACGCTGGCATAGGCACGCGAAGATATAACCACACACACACCCACACGCACACACACACATACATACTAATAAAAAACTCACAATACAATCAATTTTTATCTCTCTCTCCTCTTTCTCTCTCTCTCTATCTCTCTCTCTCTCGCACACACGCACACACACATACATAGACACACACACAAACACACGCACACACACACATACAGCATAATTTGTTCTGCTTCGTGTTGCGTTCGGAGGGCGTGCGTGAGCGTATAAATAGCAGTGCATGTAAGATGGTTCGATTCGCAAGGATATCGTGCAAACAGTTTATTGGATTTTTTTTTTTTTATAATTTTTAGTTTTTGTAAACGAATGACTTGAAATAATTTTTGGTTTTGAATTAGCCGTAAAAGTTATTTCAGTTTTTGTATGATAGTCTGTTTGATTTTGACTTAAAATTTGTAAAATATGAAAAAATCAAAACGTAATTTTTATCAATACTTTGAAATTAAATTGATGTAAACCTGTAATTAAAATAATCATAAAAACTAGTATTTCTGAGGGTAAAAGTTTTTTTTGTTACAAAAAATTTCAAACGTTTTGTTTTGCTATGGGATTAATATCGAGAAATAATTTCTCAAGTGCAAACCCAGCGACTACAACAACATCAGCAGCAACTGCATTCCTCAACTGGTTGTCTATGGCCAGCAGCAGCAGCAGCAGCAACCCTTCCACCGCTCACGTCAGCTCATTTAGTTTCCACGTCGAAAACATCAGCAACAATGCGACAAACGTGACCACCACAACCACCACAACTACAACCACTACTAGGAATTCCAACCACACCAGCTACATCAGCAACAACTGCGGCAACTCAACCATGCTCTACAATGAATACATCCTGGCTCTGGATGTCGTTCGTTACGGCATGCCGGTTATCTACACGCTCTCAATCATACTTTCCATGTGCGGCAACCTCTTCTGGATCATCTTCATGTGGAAGTCCTCGAAATGCTGCAAGTCATCAAACGTCATACTCATCCTTAACTTGGCAGTCTGCGATTTTATCAAGTCTACCGTAGTCGCACCTCTCAGAGTTATTGAACTCTTCTTGTCGAGGTACCACAGCGACGAGGTAGATTGCTGTCGATCGTTGAACTTCTTTACGTTGTACCTGGCGCTGGCTGGCTTTCACTCTGTAGTGGCCATCAGCCAGGAGAGGTTGGTCCTCATTTGCTTCCCCTTCCACGCTCGAAAGTGGTTCGGTCGAAACGTCGCTCTCCTCGTCATATTATTAATTTGGACGACTGCTTTCGTAGTTTCGCTACCGTTTGCTCTGCTCTACTCGCAGGCCATCACGATCCCGCTGACTTACGGGGAGGTATTCCACATGTGTTCTGTAAACTTTTTCCATTCCGACAAAGCCACTGGAGCGAGGCTTTACACACTTGTCATTACAATTTTCTACTATGTTATTCCAGTTTTAATTATTTCAGTTTCGTACGTGAAAGTTTTTATCAGCTTAAACAAAACGATACATAATTTAAAATCAAACGCTTCAGCAAAATATTTTGGATTGAAGCCTGACTACGGATCGAGTATGAGAAAAGATGAAAATTCACTGTCGATGATTAGAAAAAGCTCCCAGAACAGCATTCCAGAGATGAAGATTTCATCAATCCGTAACGAGCAGTTGCTGGCGAGATCCTCCTCCAACAGCACGCTGAAGATAATTCAACGTCGCAGGACACTGGCTCAGATGATGGTAGTAGTGGCGGTTTGCTTCGTCATCTTTCAAGGACCCATCGTCTGCCTCTACTTGTACCTCAGTTTCGGATACAGAATTGAAAGAAATGCCGTTTTCACGCTGATCTTGTTCAAATGGTTTCCGATGGTGAGCTCCATGATCAATCCGTTCGTCTACTCCACTGGTTGGAAGGTCTTCAGAAACCGCTGACGTGTAAATATGAATTCTTTTCTTTATATTAACAGTACCATATCATCAACTGAAAATTGCGTTATAATTTAGAAATGGGTGGCACGATTACTGGCATAATTTATTTTAAAAAAAATATTTTTTTTTTTTTTTATAAAAATTATTTACAGTCATCGTTATAAAATTTGTATACCTCGGAATTTGTTATCCTCGTTAGGTGTCAGCATGTGGTCTTACACACGCACTTTCGCACGTTTATCATTTTGTTGTTCACAAAAATTCTGTCAATATTATTATCGTTCATGTTTTTATTCTTATTGTTATATTTTTGTTGGTACTATTATGTTATAATTAAAACTGTTCATTTGTTCATAGAATTACTGATAACGTTATTGTAAATAACTCAACTTGTAGATATTGTGGATGTGAATATTGTTGATGCTGTGCTGTGATCATAATGTTAAACTGTGATGAATTTTGAAATTGTCCCCGTCGTTTCAATTCTACTTTATTGTACTCTTCAGGATGTTGTACGTATTTATAAATTGTTTGTGTTGACTTACACCTAGTTACTTTCATTGAGTTGAAAAATATTTAATAAAAATCGAACTGAATCTCAAATTTTATAAATATAAAATTCATAAAAAACATTAAAATTGGTGAGATAATAGGAAATGTTCACATGTTGATTGAAGCGTCATCCATTTAGTGCTGGCTGACAACCAACTCTATTTTAGGTCTTTCTAAAATGACGTCACAAATATATTTTGGTTTTTTAAATTTATAGAAATTTTTACCTTGAAAATTATAAAATTTTTACGACACATGACAGTGCGAATGAGTCAATAGAATGAACAAATATTTGAAAATTTAGATTTTTTTTTATTTTTAGTGCACTCAGATTAAAAAATTGGTTCATACTAACTTTTCAAAAACCCCGAAAAATTTTCTAGCAAGAAATATTTCAAATTTCTACTACTTGTTTATTGTTAACGATAATTATGCCAATAAAAAGAAGCACAATTCAGCACTTAACGTTTTTTATGGACAAGAAAATTTTTCATCATTCACCACAATTTGGATGTTTCTTCCATTCTTTCCATCTGCTTTCTTTCCCAAGTGGAGTCCAGTTAAAATAATTTCATTTATTTGTATTGTTTGCGGAATTCAAGCATTTTTTAGTGGCAGTGAAATTCATTCTCGTTTAAGAAACTTTTTTTAATTTTATTTTATTCATTTATTTAAATTTTTAACTGGGTCTGGTTTCTACTTTGTAAAAATAACATTTTAACGTACTTTAAAAATTGATTCATTCCCTCATAAAATTCGGTGAATTTGTGACAAACCTTCAGCTCAAAATAGATCATAGAAGTTACTACAGCGTGTGCACATTAAAAACCTTTTATTAAAATTTAACAATGAAATCAATTTTTTGAACCAATTATTTATTTAATTAATACTCGAAACTTAACATCGACAACTATCTACATAGCCTCGCCAGTCGACAATGCCACATCATTCTGGAGGCAGTACAAACATGAAACGTTTTAAACACTGCAGAGCCAACAAAATGCAACAAAATACAAAACAACAAATTTCTTGCAAAACAACGTGCGTCACAGTTTGAAGCAAGTTCATCGTTTGGTTGCCTGCGAATTTGTAATGTGTGTGAGAACAACATGTTGAAACAACTGTTTCACTTTGGTAAAATAGACAAAATGACAATTTTCACAGAACACTTTTGTTAGATTTTTGTTTTGTTTTAAAATGAAATTATTAAAATTCAGATTATCTCACCTATTCATTCTTTATTTTACTTACATCCTATATGCAGCTTGTAACAAAGCTTTCGATTTATAAAATTAATTGATGATATGGCAATGGCTTTATGTTAAAAGAAAATTTCAGTTTCATCAAAACGGATGAAGATCAAAAATGCCTGTGTATTGTTTATTCCTGATCCCGCACACGCGGACCTCAACCGTTGACCGATATAAAAAATGAATGGTGAAATGTTTCTGCCATTCAAAGTGTTAATGTCTCAATTCAGATGAATTGGTCGGTTTGTGCATTTCTCATTCACCGTTGCAATCATTTTCAGGTTGTTCCACTTCCAAATGCATCGTTCAAAAACTTAGAGAAATTTTTTGTGACATACATTACAATTGTTGCCTTCAATAAACAATCGTTTACAAGAGTAATAAAATGATAGTATGTCCTGCATGCCAAGTTCAACAATTATCTCACAAACAATCTTCAATTTATATTTATTTAACGTTAATCCGAAACATAAACTCTTATGTGAGGTTCATTCATCCGATCGTAACCTTTTAACCGCTAATTCTTTAGATGTGCACTAATTTTTTTTCATCTATTTGCTTCACAACCAAAAAATTATTTTTTTTAGCGTGAAAGGTGATAATTACTAATTTAATATTTGTATTATACATTGAATGGTTGGTGTAAAATTCAGATTACTAATATTTCTGACAGTTTGATGATGATTCGATTACACAAACGCCAGCAATTGCTACATACTTCTAACCACATCTTGAAGTGGCAACTCAAGAAAAATTCTTAAAGTTACATCTCTAGTTGCCATATAACTCAAGAATAAATAAGTTATAAAGTGGAGAAGAACTATCTGGATATAATATAATAATACCAGAATGTAATGGTAATAATAAAATGAATGAACAATTTCTACATTAGATTTTGAACTTGGAATCGAAACAACAACAACAACAAAAACAACAAAAACAACAACAACAACAACAACAATAACAACAACAAAAACAACAACAACAACAACAATAACAACAACAACGACGACGACGACAACAACAACAACAACAACAAGCAGCAACAGCTTAGCACACTTTTCCATGCATATTTTCAAACGTCTGTTGCCAATGTATCCTAAAAACAAACCAATCAGAGATTGTTCTGATTCCTGAGTGCGTGCGTGTCTTCTTGGCAAAGTTCTCATACATAATTCTAGATTTTATTTATTATTTCTAGAAAAACAAAATTGTACATTTATAAAAAAAAAGTTCCACATATATATGTTACAAGTGTTGGTTGAATTGGTCAACATTTAATCTACTCGTGAGCGCTGCACTTTGTATTGTACAATGTGCAGTAACTGTTAAATAACTGTGTCATAATGATTACAATTGATAACTTATTATTAATTACGGTTTAGGAGTAATACGCTAAATAATAATAATAATAATAATAAATAATATTATTATCATTTATAACGAAAACATCATTAATAAACATAATAATGTCAGAATGAAGATGTCAGAATGAAGTGATATATGTGGATACACATATATAAATATATATATAAATATATATATATATATATAAATGCAATTATTGATGAAAATCACAGCATGTTCGGCATTTGTTAACTTCCAATTTAACTTTTTGATTTTTCTAACGGTTGATCGTAAATCATTTTCAAGTTTCTTTATTTCAAAACCAAAGTTTATATACATATATTAATATATGCTTCTATACCAAAACCAAAATTTATATACATATATATATAATATATATACATATATATACTTCTATACATATGTGATATGATATTCTACGCTTATTAAAAATTAACACACCCTCTATAGCTTTTATAATTTTTTTACCTAAAGCACTTTTTTAAACTATGATAATACCTCTGAAAACACACACACACACACACTCACTCACACACACACACTCACTCACACACACACACACACACACACACACACACACGCTGAACGTATGTTCAGTTCTCTTTATAATAATAACACGAACATGTGAAGAGCTACGATATGAATGGATGATATAACATATACTGTAACATGCTCATACAGGCAATATCCATTGCCAATGCATGTATCGTGTTGTTTGTATAAAGATAGACATATATAAGTAGGTAATGAATGAGTGGCTCGGTTGTATGTAATGTAAAGCCCGAAATGTAGGTACGACGTGCTTTAGAGTGACGATGTGGTCTATTGCAACATGCAACATGTAGCATGCATTCTCTGTAGTGTCACCATCTATTTGTATTAAAGGATTAAATTCTGAAGTGTTTGTTAAGTGTTAAAATACCATCTTTGAATTAGTTCAATTGAGATTTTATATTTTATTCATTTGATAATTTTAAAAGTTGAAAATGTTCTGTTGAAATTTCACTGAAAGCGTTTTCATTCAAAAATGTAATTGTTGGTTGGTTGGTTACTTAAAATTAAATAAAAAAAATTTTATTTATGAATTTTTCTTTTCTTTACTGGTAAAATGTTACTAAAAATTGTTATTTTGTTCAAATAACTAGATGACAATATATCGGATAACTTATGGGTGATAGTCAGGTTGCAAGTTAACTCTTGGATAACAGTTTCTTGTCATGGGATTATCTTCAAGATCAAACACAGATTCAACACACGATTTGTTGCAATTCACTGTTAACTGTAATTATTCAGCGGACAACATCTACACTGTTGACAATAGCACGACGTCAAACTCCAGCGACCCAAACGACACTCCCGACGACAACTTCGAGAACATCTGCGGCAACTCAACTCTTCTGGATAACGAATTCCTCCTGGGACTTGATGTCGTACGCTACGGACTGCCGGTCATCTACATCCTCTCCATCCTCCTCTCCATGTCCGGTAACTTGTTCTGGATCATCTTCATGTGGAAGTCCGCCAGATGCGGTCGATCGTCGAACGTCATACTCATCCTCAACCTTGCAGTTTGTGATCTGATTAAAGCAACCGTGGTGGCACCTCTCAGAGTCATTGAACTTTATCTTTCTCGATACCAGTACCACAGCAGTGATGGCATGGATTGTTGTAGGTCGATGAACTTCTTCACGTTGTTCCTGGCTCTCGTTGGCTTCCATTCCGTGGTCGCTATCAGCCAGGAGAGGTTGGTCCTCATCTCGTTCCCATTCTATGCTAGGAAGTGGTTCAGTAGGAATGTGGCTCTCGTCACGATATCAGTCGTTTGGGCAAGTTCCTTCTTAGTTTCGTTACCGTTTTCGCTGTTGTACTCCAGAACGATAACGATTTCACTTCCCTATGGCGCCGTGTTCCGCATGTGCTCGATAAGTTTCTTCCATTCGGAAGCTGGCACAGGGATCAAAGTCTACACGCTCGTCATCACTATTTTCTATTATTTCATTCCAGTGCTAGTCGTTTCGGTCTCGTACATTAAAATTTTCATCACCCTACACAAAGCCATAAATAATTTGACATGCACTACTATCGACACTCCAGAAAGGATCACAACAAAATATTCTGACATGAAAATTGAAAACGAGTCAAATTCAAACAAACAACTAGTAAGCCCGATAAGCAAAGAAAACTCTTGCGTTCGGGTGGATCAACATCCGTGGAAAACATCATCAGTAAGCACTCTGAAAATAATTCAACGTCGAAAAACTTTGGCTCAAATGATGCTTGTTGTGGCAGTTTGTTTCATATTCTTTCAAGGACCAATCTTTTTCCTCTACTTGTACCTCAGTTTCGGATACAAAATTGAAAGAAATGCCGTCTTCACGCTGATCTTGTTCAAATGGTTTCCGATGGTGAGCTCCATGATCAATCCGTTCGTCTACTCCACTGGTTGGAAGGTCTTCAGAAGGCGTTGACGATCAAATGCCGATGTGTATTTCTGTTAAGTGTACTTTTTGTCAGTAGTATAACTGACATTGTTCTTTTTTTAATGCAAGTCTGGCAATCCCTACGCGGTATATAAATATACATATGATAATTGTGTTTAGGTTATTAATAACCTGTTCTGACATTGGTGTTTTAATTTGAATGAATACTAGATACAAACGTTTGAACGTGTGATTTAATTTATCCACAAATACGCACATGAATACAAAAAAATCAATTCAGTAGTAAATATACGAGGGACAATTTGATCGCCTCAAAACCTCGTTTCGCATGGTTGAGGTAAATGAGAGTTAACATGCTCCCTGTCGGTAGCTGCTGATTGCGTGTCTAACTTTAAAATTTATATTTATGTAGTTGCTGAAATGAAATCAGCTTAGCGTGACTATATATAAATAAGTATATATATATATATCGTTTAAATGTATTTTTATTCTAAAGTTATTGTACGTATATATGCACATATATGCTGTTAATATAGCATACACACATGAAATAGTTAATTTTTGTCCATGGCATAACTTTTAGAAAGCCCAGTGACCCAACTTCACGGCTTATGATAGATTATTATAATAGATTGCTGACTTACTTACTAAGTGTTACTCTTTTACTGAATTAGCTATCAATCTGATTTTTAATGAATACCAATGTGACCATTCAGAATGCTAAACGCTCGTATATTTTTAGTCGAAAAACAACCAAACCATCGATTACATAGATTTAATCATTTCTAGAGTAACTATTGTGAGGTTGACATCTACTTAACCGAGAAAGAGAACAAAAAACCAGATCAGTATTTATTCTGCTAATCACCATAAAGTTAATTCACTAATGGATTAATGATGTTAACAGCCAGCTACAGCAGTAGCAGAAGTGTGTAGATCGGAAGTATTCGTGGCAGATGTTTTTGTCGGCATTGTATTATGAGTTAAGTAAATTTAACGCGGTGCTTCAATGTTAGAATAAATAAAAACACTTCAAAGGTTTCACGCAATCTGCATTTTGTTAATTATTTTTTTTAAATATTTTATCGGGTTTTAGCGGTCCAAATATTTTCTTTATTAATAATTTTGTATCATTTATTTGTATTTACTAAAACTAAATGAAAAAATTACTGATTGTGTTTTTAAAAAATTCCACACACACACACACACACACACACACACCACACACACACGTGAGTCAACTCATCACAAACGCATTGTATAGGTTAGGCTGGGGTTTCTTAGAATTCGAAGCCGGTCACGGCATCAACAGTGCCAGTCACCTTAACCATTACACCATTATATGAAACATGGTATATTCAAACAGTATTTTTAAAAGTTTAAATAAATTTGTCGTGTTTAAAAATTTGGAGATCCACATAAGTTGCAGTAAATATGAAATTGATATAATTTTGGATGTTATCTGACAAAAATCTAAATATATGTATAATTTATTCATGTTGTTTTTCTGAAAAAAGAAACTGTTCAGAATATTTATTTGAATGCATTTGTAAGATGCTGTTGACGCATTACTTGCATGAAATTTTTTTATGATTTTCCGTTGGGTTGGATTTTTTTTTTGTTGCTGCATGAATGAAGAAATTTGAGACCAAGTAATTTACGGCTATGAGACCAGTATTCAGGGTTTTTTTATTTTTTTTTATTTACAATATATTTTTATTTCTGTAAAATCAGACAAACCACTAAAGAAATTTTTGTTAAAAATAAACTGAAATAACTCTCATTTTTGATAGCACTCAGTTTTAACAAATTTTTGGTCATTCTGTTTAAAAATTCATTTTAGAGGTCCCCTGCATCGATTAAAATAAATTTAGCAGCACATGAACATTTGATTTTTTTTTAAGAAACTGTTTTCGTCAGACTAGCAAACAAATGAAATCAACCACCAACATATCCATGTCCAGGTCATGATACTTCCGAGCAAATTTTTTGAAATCATATCAGTTCAGTAAAGACAGCATATTAACTCTAGTTAGGGCAAACCAAAGGCTGATCTGGACAACTTTGACGGGGCCAACAATTCACGGAGGAGGGCCAAAACAGGAAAATTTATTTTACTTGACGACCTTTTCTTTTTCATTGCACAATTTTGTGTCAAAATCGTTATTGTGACTGTTGACATTGCTGTTTTAAATATGTCAATTTTAATGACTTTTTTGTTTTTAACCAATATTAAAATGAACATGATTATATTTTTTGATGTTTTTAAAAAGATACATTCCGTTTAGATGTTGGTATCTTTTGCAGTGTTCAAACTGTCATACTTTTAAGTTTTACGGTGAAAATTCTGCTTTCCACAATATAAGTTATTGACGCATTGGTTAGCATTATACAGCATGATTCGTCATGGTTATTTTTTAAAACTTATAAAATCAGTTTGTTCATTTTATCATATTTGCTAAATAGCAGACGCATCACATGTACAGTTAATATTATTTCGTTTTTATATTCATCTGGTCACAATCTTCCCAGATATTTTTTGTTCATTTGTGTTAACATTCGGCACACGTATGTTCACCGTGTTTACCATGTTCGTCATGTTTATCATGTTCTTCCTGTTCATGACGTTTGAACATTTTTAAATATTGTTTGTTCAAAAGTTTGATCGATTTGTAAAACGAGTTTACATAACAAACTTCGTTTAAAAAATATGGTTATTGTAATTGCTGCCACTGACTGACTGACTGTCTGCAACTGATTTTTATTTGGCGAAATTTCATCAGATATTAGTTCTGAATTCAATCAGTTCCAACTTTTAAAATGATCTTTTTCTAAAATTGAAAAATTTTTGCGATACATAAAAATTATTACATTAAAATAAAAAAAAATTGGTTTTTGTTCATAAAAATCGATGAATCATTAAAAAAATTAAATTCAACATCTCACATACCTTCAATCGATTGCTGACAGAAGGTATTAAAAAAGCGCGCGGAAGCAAACATAACGATGCTGTACCATAGATAAAAAAAGTCCTCCATGAGTAATCGAACGTACTTACTTGATGCGATATGATATCTATGGTGTAAAATCTATGCAGTCTATGCGGAAGTGGTTTTGCGTCGTATTATCGACCAATCTGTCTGACGTAGCAGTGCTTTTTATTTCACACTGACGTCATATGCATAGATCATTAAAATTCAAGTAAATTATTTAAAGTTTTTGGTTTGAAATAAATTTTGAAATAAAAATATTTGTGCAACTCAATAAATTTTATTTCATTTGAATTCTCATACTCTGTTGCACTCTTCTGTTTGAAGAGTTTTTTTCAGTTCAGACTTCGTAATCATTAACATGAACGTCTGTGAATTAATCGCCTCAACAACATTATGTATAGAAAAGAGAGAAATAGAAAGAGAGAGAGAAAGAGAGAAAGAGAGAGAGAGAGAGAGAGAGAGAGAAATTACAAGCTATTTGTACAACCTGTGTCGACAAACTAATCCATAGAAGCTTACAGCCAACAGGCATTGTTTAATTATTAGCTAACAATGCCCACAACGATGGTCAGATGTTTTGCTCTCTTGTTATCAAATTGAATATTTTTTAACTGCATGGTTGACTGATCTGTCATTTTTTTGGTTTTGTTTTAATGAAAAAAAAAAAATTTGAAATGCGTGGAGCAGCGGGATTGAGCGGAGTGATGATGTTGCATTGGCCAGACTGGACTCCAAGAAGACCCTCATTAATTCATGAATATTCACATGTGCCGTGTTTGCGCTGCTGAAGCATCTGGTCAATAAAGTAGAAATGGGAATAGCCATTATTCTTTTCTTCATTAAGCCCGTCTGTCAACAGTGAGGCTGACCTCCCGCTAGCAATTTCAATTTCCCAATGATGTCGTTCTGGATGATCGCCTGGTGATCAGTCTTGCTGCGAGAGCCTAACAAGCCTCTAATTAAAGATCTTCCCATTTTAAACAGTTTTTTCCATAAATAATTCATATATTATAAATTACAAAATTCAATTTTAACGTTTTTCGATATATATAAGGACGGGGATATTCCATAAATTTTGCCTACATTTTTCTATGTTTCAATCATTTTTAATGTTTGAATATTTTTACAGTTTTACTAAAAGCGGAGAAACGAAGGAAAGAGAAAAAAAAAGAATAAAAAATGAGTTGACGGTCCAAAATTGGTTGGTAGGTTAATATGTGATTAATTGAGCAATCTTCACGTGTGAATGTTAAGTGAATGTTTGGAGTGCTCCACTCGTGTCACTCACAACAACATCATCACATTACAACAACTTCATCACTTTACAACAACTTCATCACGTTAAAACAACTTCATCACGTTAAAACAACATCATCCCATTACAACAACATCATCACATTACAACAACATCATCACATTACAACAACATCATCACATTACAACAACATCATCACATTACAACAACATCATCACATTACAACAACATCATCACATTACAACAACATCATCACGTTACAACAACATCATCACATTACAACAACATCATCACGTTACAACAACATCATCACATTACAACAACATCATCACATTACAACAACTTCATCACGTTACAACAACCGTTGTGTTGAACCTAAGAAATTGACCTTTAAACTTTAACCTTTTTTAAAACCTCATGTAATCTTCAACCAGAAAATAATTTTTTTTAACTAAGATGTTAAATCATATTTATGAATAATTGAAGATTATCTTTATGCGAACCACAGAAAATCATAAAATTAATTAGATTAACTTTTATGGTAATAAGATAGTACAATGTAGACAAACTTCAGCTTGCATAGTAACATGACGTGAGATTCATCTGCACAAACTTCTGAATTATTTTGATGGCAACTTGTGTTTCTCGAGTACTTTCAAGTAGGCAAATCATTTATTATTATTATTTATTACTATTAATTATTATTATTTATTACTATTAATTATTATTATATTTTTTTAACTAATAAATAAATTAGGAAATAAATTAACTAAATAAATTATTTACTAATATATTTTTATAATTAACCATAAAAGGCATTTTAGTGTGAACATTGAATTCCAGCAAAATTATACCATACACATATTTTATTTTATATAAAATCACCATCAACATGGAACATCGTCCGTCAACAACCATCAAATGAAATGTTTAAGAAGTGATTCAAACAGCTGGCCGTGCTGACATTTGGTTATCCGGGCACAAATTATATTATTATTATTATTATTACTATTATGAAAACATGAGAGTCGAATTTTCGCGGCTCACTGTTTTAAGAGTAATATTCATGTTTTTAGAACGTTTTAAAGTACAAAGTTTGTTATTTTAGATAGGAAATGTTATTTTCTGCATAAACTGGATTAAATTTAATCTTAAATTCGAAATTTTGCTTAATTTTACAAGTGTTCAAAGTTTAATTCGTTTTTTAATAATGGCTGTCAAAACTAAATGCCCGCATTGTTTAAAAGACTTTATTTGTATCAATAAACACCTGTGGCGGTGCACAAAGTTATCTATACAATCTAATATTAACGCTAATAACATAACGAATGATAATATTTCAAATTCAGTAAATATCCAAGAAAATAATCTGAACTCTTTAATTGATAATAATTTACCTGTCAATTCGGATAATTTGTATAATTTACCTGCCAATTCGGATAACAGGAATAATTTACTGAAAAATTTAAATAGTTTGTCTGAAAATTCGAATAATTCAGATAGTTTAATAAAGTGGAAAGTTTTGTAAAGGACGGAAAGGATTAATAATGCATAAAAGATCATGCCAAACGTCCAAGCTTCTGTATTTTCATCCAGTGGTCGACAAAGAGTCTGCCTCGACGACTGCAACGCTCAACAACGCTCAAAATCGCCATCGACTTCGACAACAGAAGATGCTTTCACAACTACAACTTTAAACAGCGTTCGTCTACCAATGCCGCCATCGTCGTCGTCAGGTGTGGCCACTTCCTCAATTACAGAACTCAACAAAGTCCACCGGTCGCCACCGCCGTTGTCACCCACTGAGGCTACTTCTGAGTTTAAGCAAATCAACATCATACAACAACCAACACAGTCGTCGTCGCCAATGAAGGCCCACACTGCTCCATCCGCCAGACCCCTGCCAGGTATAAAACTTCCCCGTACAAGACGAGATTGGGAAGAGGCAAACGCATATTTCCATGCTGAGTTAAATTCATGGGGAGACGTCGATGATAATGACAAGTTTGCTTATCAGCTCAACAATTTAATTTACAAATATTTTGAAAAATCTCATGGTACCATTAATAAAAGAATAACAATAGACCAAAACCGTTCAATTAACCAACTGAAAAAAGATTTGGCCAAACTAAAAAAAATTGTAAAAAACAATAACAGCCAACAAATCAAAAAAGAAATTATCTCAACAAGTAAACTAATTAGAACAAAATTGAGATACAAAAAGGCTGACCGCAAGAACGATATTGCGCAACAACTAAAAAACAATTTCTGGAAAACGTGCCAAAATATTTTTTTGCCAACGAAACAAGTGTCACCACTGTTCGATGTAGACACTGGATATACGTATTTCAAATCCTCAGCTAAAAACAGTGGCAACAACACTTTTCATAAACCAGATTGGATACATTCTCTACAAATTCCATCACAAAATTGCAACAGTGATCCACCAAGTTACAACGAAATGGTTTCGGCCATACATAAAATAAAGTTCAAATCCTCGCCATGCCCTCTAGACCAAATTTCAATAATAGTATTTAAAAGATGTCCAATACTAAGAACATTTTTACACAAATTGATAATAAAATGCTGGTCAATTTCATCCATTCCAACATGTTGGCGTAAAGGTTTAACAATATTAATTTACAAAAAAGGAGACGCCAAAGACCCTGCAAACTTCCGGCCTATTACACTGCAGCCAATACCCTACAAAGTATTTTCTGCTGTCATCAAAAATAGACTATATCAATTTTTAGAAAGTAATAAATACCTCAATAAAAATATTCAAAAAGGATTCTATCCGTCGATTGATGGACTCACAGATCATACACAAATGCTTACCCATCTATTAAATGACGCTAAAAGACACCAAAGGACAATCATCGTAACATTACTAGATTTACGCAACGCCTTTGGTGAGGTAAGCCATGGATTGATTGAGTTAATGCTCATCCATCAGCACGTTCCACCTCCAATATCTAATTTGATACGTTCAATCTACTCTGATTACTCAATAATCGTATCAATCAATGGTAGTCTAACCCCTGCAATTCGAATCAGGAAAGGTGTACTACAAGGGGATCCATGTTCTTCGATCCTCTTCAATATGTGTTTTAATCCGCTGATGAAAATTTTGGAAGAAAGCGAGTATCGTCAATGCGGCTACATTTGGGGTCCTTCGGCTGAACTTAAATCCAGATCCTGGCTACAATTTGCTGACGATTCGGCAATCATTGCACACAGCACGGAAGGAGCGCAAACATTGATCAATCTAAATCAAGCATGGTGCAAGTGGTCGGGAATGGAAATGAGGATCGACAAATGTATTACGTTCGGGATGAGGAAAAAAGATGGCAATTATGAACAATTTATGCCAAGACCGAGTATAGATAACATTACAATCCCGCAGGTGGCCGCTGGTGATGGTTTTGAATATTTAGGTAAATTCTATGATTTTGGATGCACTAACAATAAGCTAAAAGACAAGCTATGCACCAAACTGTCAAACATGTTGAAAATAATAACAGCGTTAAATGTAAAACCGCAAGAGAAACTTAAAATAGTGAAAACTTATATTCCATGTCAGCTAAAATTCGACCTCCGATCCAGCGACATATCGCTCACTTGGATTGGAAACAACCTTGACAACATGATAACTGAAGCAGTCAGAAACTGGCTCTCAGTTCCGATTAGTGGCTGCGTGGCTGAAATCCTGTCCTTGCCGACTTGGTGGACATAACATAAAGTCTTTGAAAGACTCTGCCGAAGTGATGAGACTAAAGCTACGCAGCTACCTCAAAACAAATGTAAATAAAGAGATCAGATGCCTTTGGCAAGAGTCCAACACCAACCACAGCAAAATAGATAATACGCTGGAAAACGCGGTCTCTCTAAAAGCGGCGGTGGTGGCTGCAGAAAATAGATGCATGGAGATGCAATACAAACATATTGAGGCTCTCCAAAGTCAGGGTGTGATAATCAGATCCATTAAGAAACACATCACGGCCAAACAAATTTGCCGGTGGTCCGAAGCCCTTGACGATCTCCCAGCAGCTTTATACAAATTTGTCAGAAAGTACTTAATACAACAGTTGCCGACCAATGCAAACTTATACAGATGGGGAAAAACAAACAATCAACAATGCCCTCTCTGCAATGTAAGCCAGACCAACAAGCATGTCCTGTCCAACTGTGGATCAGTTTCAGCACTGGCTCGATACACAAAAAGAAATAACAAAATATTGAAGTTGATTGTCAACGCCCTGAGACTAGAGAAGAGGCCCGATTGCGTCATCTATGCGGATGTAAACGTTGAAGAAGTACAACCAATATCAACCATGTTTGAATCGTTACGGCCAGACGTTGCCATCCTATATCGAGACACCATTGAGGTTCTTGAGCTCACGGTATGCCATGTAACGAATTTGGCCAACTCAAGAGAATATAAACTCAACAAATATAAGGACAGACTTATAACCAATCTCAATAATAATTTCAGTCAGTTCAAAATAATTATTAAAACAACTGAGATATCCCCAATGGGTCTCTTTAACAAATTGATGTTGCAATCAATTAACATGTCTTGGTCGGATTCAATCATAAAAACATTGATGGTGGCAGCAATAACCTCATCATATGGCATCTACTGTGAACGTAACAACATGTAACAATCTTTGTGCCTCGTATACTTTTTGTACTTGCCCTACGCAATGAGCGAAAAGTTTTATCACTAACAGCAACAACTTTTTCTATTTTAATTTTATTTTATTTAATCTCCATATACTACTTAATATCATATAATTTCGTGTATTGCTAAACTAATTAAACTAAATTCTCATGTTAACATTCATTAATTATTCTTTGGAAATTTGGATTTTACAATGAAATAAAAGGCTGTTTACATTATATAGAGACAAGGTTCAGACTGTATAAAATATATTATTGTCTTTTTATTAACTTTATTGCAACTCTATGCTTACCATAAAATTTGATTGATAACGCCAAAATAATAAGAATGATTGAACCCCAATTGAACAATTAAACCAGCCCCTCTAGAATGTACTCACTTGCAGTGACGAGCATTTTAGATTAAATAGGATTTATAATTATTTCATTATTAATATTTGGTATTCGGAGTTAGAAAATAAAAGGATGTTCCCATTATTATTATTATTATTATCATCATCATTATTATTATTATTATTATTATTATTATTATTATTATTCACATCATCACTGTTTTGCATATGTTTGTGGAAGTAGTTGTAATTCTTGGTAACGGTCTGAAAAAAAAGAATTGAAATATAAGGTTGAATGAACCTCGTACTGAGATATTCCTGCCTACTTCCCTTCTCTCTCTTAAAAACCCAACAACATTTTTTTTTATTCAACAGTTAAAATTTATTTTCCTATCCAAAAAATTTCATTTAACAATTTCGTTTTATAAATTGTATAAAAATTTTAAAAATTTTTCCTGTGGTGAGCACACAATTCATGATATATTCACCTGATGGATATCATCTTACGTCATCATCGAATATAAAGGTTCCCAAATTCGTTCTGAAAATGTGCACATAAAAGAATTTATCCCCCTGGAACCGCTAATGGAAAAAGTTTGGTTCAATGTGCTGAACATCATGTTATCTCATTTCTACAGCTGTCTGTCTACGTTATCAACGTTTTAAGTTCGTTGTTTGTTGTTCGTTGGTTGCTGTTCGTAGTTTGCTGTTCGTTGTTTGCTGTTCGTAGTTTGCTGTTCGTAGTTTGCTGTTCGTTGTTTGTTGTTCGATGTTTGTTGTTCGTTGTTTGTTGTTTGTTCATTTGATTACGAGCGCTGTGGTCTATGTTGCCAATTCACTGTAAAGTTTCAACCGTCTATGTGAAAATTCAACGTGTAATGTTTTATTAACTCCTAATTAGTTAATCGATTATCGCATTTGGATGCAAATTCTTACTTTGAAATTTCATTCCTTCAACTGAGATGCTAACATCAAAAATTCACAGCCTCCTCCATGCAGAGAGTCATCGGATGTTACGCTGATGGCTTTATCGTTAGAACTGTTGACCGTTAATGAAATATTTTGGTTTAAAATTATAACCGGTATTAAACTGTTCATCACGAATATTCAGCTGCTACTATTAATAAGTTATTTTTTTCAAAAGTTAATTAAGAATTTATTTTTGTGAACAGCAATTAAAATGCATGAATTCTTTCGCGCTTATAAAGGCTTAATTTTCAAACTGTACACGAAAGCAGTTTGAAGTTTCATCAGCAGTTTGAGTGTTCTGTGTTTATGACTTGTTTCTATTTCCAAGTTAATAGAGTGTCGTGAAAAAGTAAATTTTAGAATTGATCAAAATTATAAAACAAAAAATTTTAAAAAGTAAGAAAAAAAGGAGGACCATTTTGCAAATTGATCCATAAAAAGAAGTGAAAATTATGAAAAGTTGAAATAAAAACTCATCTGCCAAAACAAAAAATTTTTCCTGCTTGTATATATCGAACTAACATGTTTTTATTTTTTATTTCTGTTCTGTTAACTTTGCTTTAAATTTTTGTTGAGCAGCGAATGTTTGTTTAGTAAACATACCAGGAGACCGATGATGCATTTAAATGAGGCACTGAAATATTTCACCTTCATTAAACTGACTCATTTGCGACTTTCTGGACCGCAACACGCACACAACACACACAAACAGCATGTAAGCAACATCCATGCAACATGTAAGCAACGTCCATGCAACATCCATGCAACATTCACGCAACATCTATGCAACATGTAAGCAACATCCATGCAACATCCATGCAACATTCACGCAACATCTATGCAACATGTAAGCAACATCCATGCAACATGTAAGCAACATGTACGCAACATTCATGCAACATGTAAGCAACATCCATGCAACATGTACGCAACATTCATGCAACATTCATGCAACATCCATGCAACCTCCATGCAACATCTATGCAACATGTACGCAACATTCATGCAACATTCATGCAACATCCATGTATCTATGCAGTCGTTACAGTTAATCTACGTAGATTCTACGTTGTATTGTACTAACTAAACCACTTCAACGTTCTTCGCTGTACAATATTTGATCCGCAACGAAGATGCATTCTTCGCAATCAACGAAGGAACACTCGACTCAAGTAATCTAGATAGCAACGACAACTAAATATGCCCCACTGGTGCACATAATAGGCCAACTTGAGAGTTGAACAATTTTTCAAAACATTTAACTTTGCAATCTTGTAGGTTTCGTAGCGTTCGAACGAGGTCACCAATCCTATCTGCTTGTTTGTTAATGCCCAGTTTTGCAATTAATGGTCATTTAGTAATAAAAAATCATTTCGTAGTAGATGATTACTTCGTAATAAACGACCATTTCGTAGCAGATGACCACTTTGTAATAAATGGTCATTTCATAATAACTCGTAGTAGATGATTACTTCGTAGTAGATGAATACGCGGTAATAAATGACAATTTCTGGCAGTAGAGAAACGTTTGTAATTTTTGCGATAATCATATGCTACTAAAAAAAATTCACCTACATCAAATTTAAAAACAGAACGTGAAACTTCAACAACACGTTGACAAAATTCAAAATGTTAATAAAATAACGAGCAATAATATAACGCTCAGAGTTTGAGACTATTTGTCTAAACAACAACAAAAACCACCACCACAACAACAAAAACATTAATAATATTACTATATTTAGAATTCTAACGAACAATCTTTATAATTACAAAGTATATGAAGAGGGCATGTAAATAAATATGGATAGAAATGATGAGATCATCCTGTTACAACGTAATGACATCCGGCTCACATCAAACTCAACAATTCACTGAAATATTACACCTTATTTTTATCCATAGAAATGTCATTCCGAGAAGAAATTTTTCAAGCTTTGAATCTAAAATGACCTCGAAAATTTTTTTTAAGAATGTGAAAACAGCGGGGCTATTTATTACATTTTGTGTTTCGTATTCCGGGAAATCTTTCACCCAACACAATTTTCAAATAACTGTAAAATATTATCAACCCGTTATTTTATTTATTTTATTTTTTTAAACGGCTTTGGTAGAATTAGCTTGATTGTTTAAAATGATTTGATAAAATTATTTTCAAAGACAATTTATTTTCCCATGAACAACCTATGCTAAACAACCCAATGTTACATAATAGACATTTTTTAAGTTTTTTTTAGGAGTTAAATATAACAAGAAATCAAAACACATGAAGTGGGTATAAAAAATTGTTTCATGTTTCAGTTGGATTTTATTTATTAATTAAAATATAAGAAAATTAGTTATTAACTTTTGTCCAATTTTGTAATGATTTCTGGTAACCTAGAAACAAGTTAACAATCGCCGCAAAATTTATTTTAGTTGAAAAAGTAGTTTTTTGAAGCAATAAATACCGATTAGCTCTTTCACCTCAATTATCGTTAAATGCAATTTTCAGATTTTTAACTAATTTTCTTTTCAACGGGTAATCAATGCTGGGTAAGATAAAAACAGCGAAATGTTGGAGATGAAATCCAGTTGAAGAAAAAAAAAACATAAAGCAAGAGATTCAATGAGGCAACAGATGATGATGAACAAATGCTCTTTGATAAGGATTAGTGCAGGCTTGCTAATAATTGAATATTTTATTTCTAACCAACTGATACAACGAGAAATATAATAGGTTTAAAAAAGACAAACGTGTGCGTGTGTTTGTATGTGTGTGTGTATGTGTGTTTGAGGTGTCACATTTTAAGAAATTACACAAGTTAATAAATAGAATAAAGAAATATATATATATATAAATAGATAAATATATTAAGAAAGGATAAGTTATTATAATTACTTATTTCTCCTAGAATAAATGTTCCATGTGTATGTTATATTTTAAAACAGATTTTAAAAAAGATGAAATTTCTAAATTTAGGAAAACCGTGAGAAAAGAGATGATATTTGATTTCAAGCACCTCCTCAAAATCAGTCAGATCAGCAATTAAAAATAAATTTTTGTGAAAATTTGTGTTATCAACAAAAACAGATGATGATTTTTTGTTGAAAAAATTGTTTACCACCATTCTATTTAAACATGAAACAAAATTTAAATTAGATAATTACATTTTTCATTTAGAATTTTTATCCTTTCGAAGAAACAAATTATTAAAACTTGTGCTGCATATAAGAAAATTATTCATAGCTCAAACTTTTTTCTGAATTTATATAATTCAATTTGTTAATAATAATCTAAATAACGGTTGTAATAAATTAATTTTCTTTAATTTTTTTTGTGAAAAGTCGAATTTTTCTTACAAAAAAACGATTCATTATTTGAAAACTAAATTTTTAGCCTAAATTTTGAAATCAATCCTAAGAAAAACAACAAAGTTAAAATTTATCTAAATTTTGCGAATGAATTCAACTTGGAAACTACATTTTTATATTTTCATTTGTTTCACTTTGACTGATGACAATTCCACGACGCAATTAAATTCCAAAATAAAATTTTGGAAATGTATTTTTTTCCTCGTTCCGTAAGTTGCATAAGTTAACTGTTCATCAATGTAAGTTGTTTGAAAAGTAATAATGGATAGTATCCATTAAATAAAATTTTTTTTTAATTTGAAAAATTTTTACTTCATATAATTAAGATTTTTCCAAATTAAACAATGAGAAATAAAAACCAAAAACAATAATTTTTCGAAAATTGAAACATAAGCAAGAAAATAATCATCACATTCAACTTTAGAAAATCACCTGCTCTGGATACGCTGCTGGCTATAAATATTCACTTTTTGGATAAATATTTATCACATAAATTTTGGATGAAAAATATCAAATAAACAAACAAATGAACGAACGATTGGACAAACGAACAAACAAAAAGACAACAAATTAACAAACGAACTAACGGACAAACGAACGAACAAATATATACAAACAAAAATTTATCTTTGTTCACTGTTCATCAATGTACATAGGGTTTAATGCAGCATGCAGACTGAGCCAGTGACGTCAACAAAACGAAACGGGAAACATGAAAAATTTGAAAATCGTTTCAAGGCATCAAGGTTTC